GCACTTTGGCCCTAGTTGCACATTTGCGAAAATTTCAAGCCATGAGAGACGAGAATCAACGGTTCCAAATCCAAGCAGTTGCAATAGTTCTCTTGTTGGGTAAGGTTAAGTTTTCCTCAAACAGCTCGGTTTTTGACCATTATATTTGGATATTAACCATTACTTGTATTATATTTCATTGTGCAAAATAAATATTTTAATTGTTTAATTATATATTTAATGTTTTATTTTTAGTGTTACAGTTTTGCCTTGCCTTGCCCATGGGAAATGATATAGACAACGATGGAAACTACCAAAACCCCGGCAGTGGACGACCTGTAGACTATCACACGGTAGTGGGCCACTTCAAGGACTTTTTCATGTACCTGCCCGTGATGATGACCACCTTAAAGGAGACAATGTCGGGATTTCCCAAATTCGCCGAGGGTGTGCGCATCCTGACTTCCGGCAAAGGAAGGGTCGATGGCGAGGACTGTAAGTGCAGCCAGAATGGATTGACAAGCGGCGAGCTTCTGGACACCAATAGTCGATTTGGATGACCCACATTGAGACTTTTGTAGATACTGTACATATGGATGAATTCAAAATAAAGGAAAAATCGTCAAAGCATTAAAATCTCAAAGCATTAAAAATTCTCTTTGATCTCATCTCATATATCCAGTTTTTTTACATTCAGTTGAATGTTTATAAACATTCCAAGTAAACAATGGGTATAGTCTTAAATACGGCATCAGCAATGAATGGGTTTCAGATTTTAAATGGAATCCGAAATCAACGTTCGATTTTCTGCTGACGTGAAGAATATTGAGGAAGATACACAAAATGACACATAGTAAAGAAGTTGTATTGTTGTAACGCCCTTTTTAAGAAATAAATCTTTCATTATAAATTAATTCGAAAACAGTAAAAAACCTAAAATTTTAAGCTACTAAATACAGCTTTTCCTGTAAGTCTTAGTTAGCATATAGGGAAAACGGAATAATTATATTTCCATAGTCATTAAATGAAACTATCGACAATTTTCTGTTACTAAAAAAGTAATTTGTTTGCCAATGACTTTGTGGTTATGTTACCCCATAAGAAAATCAATTCGGGACACTCGATAGGGGACATTTTTAGTGGCTAAACTCGAGTATTCCGAGAAGCTATCATGCCCTTGAAAAGGAAATTGGTTAGACAATGACTACGCAAGACATTCATAACCCACTTTGGTTGGACTTGAACTACATGGGTCTCTATATACATATACTTCCAGTTATTTTCTTAAGCTGTTAGCTGGCGTTATTAGCCAGACCCCTGGGAATGCTGACAACCTGGCCGGCTTGTGAATGGAATGGCGCCTAATCAAAACCTCGAATCTGCATTCCATGGGCAGCGGGGGTGGTGCTTTGACCCTCTCAAAAAGCCCCCGTTCCATGAACCACTGTCATGTTTGCACTTGTCATTATTGTTAATTGTATTTGCGGGGTGGCCGAGCATGCATGGACTATATTTACATAGCAATCCCAGTGGCCGAGGCGGGACAAATGTAATTCAAAGTTACCACTTTCCGTTTCAGTGAGGCCCGCGGCGTTGTAAGGAACGCAACAGCATGCCCAGGAAGCGCAAAAAGCGAAATTACTAGAGAAGCAACCGGAAAGGATATTCTCTTGCACAGGAAATACAGTACACATCCGCTCCGATGGCCACCGGCATCGAGCTGCTAGTGGCCGCCGCCCTTTGCGTCGCCTGTCCGCCGCTGAACGAGTCCCTGCCGTCGAGCCTCATCCTGCTCGACGAAGACGGCATCCCACGGCAGTCCACCGAACTGCCCATCGATGTGGAGGTTGCCGGTCTCGATGAGGACACCCCCGAGGAGACCCTGGAGTCCATCATTAGCAAGAAGCTCAAGCTCCGCGAGATGCGCGAGTGGATCGGTGGCAAACACCTGCGCATCGCCACCCTGGAGGACTATCCGCTCAGCTACACCCATGTCCTGGATAACGGCACCCGCATCGGCCTTGGAGTCTCCTTTCAGATTATCGACTTCCTCAAGAAGAAGTTCAACTTCACCTATGAGGTTGCTGTCCCCCAAGACAACATTATCGGCTCTCAAAGTGACTTTGATCGCAGCCTCATCGAGATGGTCAACAGCAGTGTGAGTAGCCTGTTGGTGGTTGGACATTCTATAACTTTGCATTTAGGATTTTAATTTACTTGCCAATACATTTCAACTACGACTAGTTGTTGTTGCACACAAAATGGAATACCCTTTAAATCATAGGTAGATTTCTTAAGATATAGAAAATTAAATTTTACTATGTACTATGTTAACTGCAAAAAGAATTTTTAAAAAATCATTTTGCTTATACTTTTTCTGATTTTTTGAAGGTGACAATGTAGAAAAAAATTTCTATGAAAAAAAGACAAATATGGCTCAAATTCATGTTTCTATACATTTTCAAAAATCATAAAAAATATAAGAAAAATGATTGTTGAAAAATTTTTTTTGCAGTTACTATTATTTTTGTTTGAAGAAACTTTTTGCATCAAAAAATTTTAGTTTTCAAGTCAAGGAAAACGTTTAAGAAGTAGATGTTTACACAAATTCGTCCTTTTCAATAAGTAGTGAATGGGTTAGGCAATGTATCGTATCAATCAAACGACATTTAAATTACCTTTCCATTGATGCCAAAGTTATCAAGAAGTAAGTTCAAATTATGAGTATATTTAACTTTTGTTTTGTGAAAATACTTTTGACCACCCCTGTACACATGAATTTCCTAGTGATACAAGTTTCATGTTGAATACTTAATACCCTGCAGACAGTGGACTTGGCAGCGGCTTTCATACCCTCCCTTTCCGAACAACGGAGCTTTGTTTACTACTCGACCACGACTCTGGATGAGGGCGAGTGGATTATGGTGATGCAGCGTCCCCGGGAATCTGCCAGCGGATCCGGACTACTGGCGCCCTTCGAGTTCTGGGTCTGGATCCTCATCCTCGTCTCGCTCCTGGCCGTTGGTCCGATCATCTACGTGCTGATCATCCTGCGGAACCGGCTGACCGGCGACGACCAGCAGACACCCTATTCGCTGGGCCACTGCGCCTGGTTCGTCTACGGGGCGCTGATGAAGCAGGGCAGCACCCTGTCACCCATCGCAGGTGGGCTGCAATTAGGTTAAAGTGCAATCGGGCGGCCAAGATAGCGATCGCCAAGCGCTAATGGGCCCGCTGATTGCATGCGTGCCGGCACACCACCAGTTTGTCGTTTCATTTAGCTCATTGAAAACCATTTCAAACCATTACAGACTCGACCCGGCTGCTCTTTGCCACCTGGTGGATTTTCATCACGATACTGACGTCCTTCTACACGGCCAACCTGACCGCCTTCCTGACCCTCTCCAAGTTCACGCTGCCCTACAACACGGTCAACGATATTCTCACAAAGAACAAGCACTTTGTGTCCATGCGGGGCGGTGGGGTCGAGTACGCCATCCGAACGGTGAGTGGATCTCCGGGTGAAAATTAATTAGTTGAAACAGTGAGATATGGAAGGACAGGGTGAATGTAGATTTTGTACTTATAGATACCTTTTGAATTCGAGCCAATTTTACAGTGGCACTTGAAAAGCTAGTATTAATATTTATGCAATGAGTAAAAGATTTATAAAGCGACAACATGGTGCTCTATATATATTTATATTGGCATCTCATCTCTCTTTTGATATGATTCCAGACCAATGAATCTCTGTCCATGCTGAACCGCATGATCCAGAACAATTACGCCGTGTTCTCGGACGAGGCCAACGACACATACAACCTGCAGAATTACGTGGAAAGGAATGGATACGTTTTCGTTAGGGATCGGCCGGCGATTAACATAATGTTGTATCAGGACTATCTGTACCGCAAGACAGTCAGCTTTAGTGACGAGAAGGTCCACTGTCCGTTTGCCATGGCCAAGGAGCCGTTCCTGAAGAAGAAGCGCACGTTCGCCTATCCGATTGGCTCGAATCTGAGCCAGTTATTCGATCCAGAGTGGGTGAGCTGAGGATTATGCCGCATGGATAATACGATTTGGCCCTTTGCAGGCTGCTCAACCTGGTGGAGTCGGGCATTGTGAAGCACTTGTCGTCCAAGGACCTGCCCAGTGCGGAGATCTGTCCGCAGGATCTTGGCGGAACGGAGCGACAGCTGAGGAACGGAGACCTGATGATGACCTACTACATAATGCTGGCCGGTTTCGCGACCGCACTGGCCGTTTTCAGCACGGAGCTGGTGTTCCGGTATGTCAACAGTCGCCAGGAGGCAAACAAGTGGGCGCGGCACGGGATCGGACGGACACCCAATGGCCAGTCGGTGGCTCCATCCCGTTGGCTCCGCAGCTGGAGGCGCGTGGACAGTGGACACGGGCAGCTGCTGGGCGCCTCCACCCACGGCCAAAATGTAACTCCACCGCCGCCGTACCAGAGCATCTTCAACGGCGGAAGTCAGGGGGATCCACTGAATCGATGGCGACGACCTCTTGGAAACGGAAATGCCAGCGGAAACGGTGTGCTCCTGGGTGGCGACTCTGAGGGCGGTGTTCGGCGTTTGATCAACGGACGCGACTACATGGTATTCCGCAGTCCGAATGGACAGAGCCAACTGGTCCCAGTTCGATCGCCCTCGGCGGCCTTATTTCAATACAGCTACACCGAGTAGATACTAGTTCAAAGACAGTAATGGGAAGTAAACTTTATTGATTAGGCAAAGCTTACATTTTACATTAAAAAAAAATAGAGTGATATAATATTGTTTTAAAACTACATTGAATGTTTTGAATACTATCTAAAAAGAAAAATTAGTATAAATTCATACCCATGAAGGGTAACATTTTTAATTGGCTTTGTTACTTCACATTACTGTTTCGATGTATTTGCAAAGCACACCTGTAACCACCGCAATCAAGACGTAGACATCAAAACGGAGTTGTTATACTTAGTGCACCAATAAAAATAATCGTATATTCGTATACAATTTCTTATTACTTTCAATTTGGATCGTTTAAGAACCATTTTAATGATAATAACATATACTTATATAAAAAGAAATACAAATTTTAATGTTGAATAGACATAAATCAAACTCACAGAGTAGCAAGAACAAAAAATGTTCAAAGTTTTCAAAACAATGGTACATTTTAAAGGTACGCTTCTATAAAGTACAAAATTTTATGAAGACATGTCTGGGATTCTATGTACCGATGTCGAAATTTTAATGTGCAACACCTTGCACCTTAGTTTTACGGGGTATAGTTGTATATTAATGGAATCGAAGAAGATAGCAGTTCTTCGTGTTTTTCCGCTTTTTTTCAAGAGCATAAAAACTGAATGTTAATAGTTTAGTTATTTCGTAACTTATTCATTTTATAATTTGGGCCTTATTAACATCTTACAGGATTTAAGAGTAAATCGTTTATTTCCCAGATACCAGTTACCCCACCAAATTCCATTTAATGCGCCGTCGTCCAAAACTTTTTTAGTTGTACTGAAGGGACCATTTAGGATACTGAAAAAATTAAATTGTTTAACTCGAATTCTAAATGGGGCCTAATGAGTACTTTCTTACCACTGAGCTTTAACGGCATTCCACCAACAAAAATATGAACGGTCAGAATACCTCCATTTTGAAAATTTATTTTTCTTATGAGCACGCAAAGCATCGCCAGCGTTTCCCGAATAATTACCTAACGACTTTAATTCATATTCGGATTCTTTGTTTCCAACACAAAAGTTATCATATCTGGCGTATGCTGTTACGTCATCAAAGTCAACAAGTTCAACATATAACTCATGCCTGTGGCTCGTGGTTAACTGATGAATTGCCTGGATACCAATCCAAAAATCTTCATTTAAATCCCCAAATCCATCTTCATAACTGTTTTCATTTTTTACGATGAAATTTATATTACCATCGAACCGACGTTGAATAACCATCCAACCGGAACCCGCAAAAGGAATGTCTTCAAATACGGCCGTAAACGGAGAAATCCCATCACCTTTTATGAATTTAATATGAGGATTCTTTGAATGGTTTAGTAATATGGTTACGTTATTATTTCGTGTATTTGTCATCTCGTCGTTTGTTTTTGATTTATCTTCTAATTGTAAGATCTTATTATCCATCTCTTGCATTGTTGTTTTTGTTTCATCTTCTAAATTAACCAACTTATCATCAATCAACTCTACAATCTTATTATTCATCTCTTGAATTGTTGACTCCAAATCAACCATTTTATTCTTCAGTTCATTAAATTCTGGCAAGTCCTGAAGTTGGTTATTAGAAAAGACATTTTGAGTATCCTTCTCTGTATCAATATTTAGATTTTTTGTTAAGTCAAGAGTATTCTTCAAACGGGTATTTTCAAGCTGCAAGTATTTGTTTTGGCTTATTAATTCAATCGACATTTTAAACGACTTTATCAAATCGTCCTTCTCATTTATGATAGTTTCTTTTTGTTTTAAACTTTTTTCAGCATCAGCCAACTGTACTTCCAAACTGCTGATTTTTATATCTTTGCTGAATATTTCCTTTTTAAGTTCTTGAATTACCATTTCATAGTCGGCAGTTTCGTTTAATTCTTTGTGTTCTGAGTCACTAACAAGCTAATATACGTAATTTATTTTATGTTAAAAAAAGTTTCTTACATATGACACATTAATTTACCGAAAAGCTATCAGATGCTGCATCCTCCATAGTTTCCTTTTGTTGTTTCGATCCATCGGTTGACATTTCTATTTTCATTTTAAGTTTTCTGGAAAATGTTTTATTTTAAAATTAAGCTTTGTTTAAAACAGATGCATGCCTTAAATTAGGTTGAAATGTGTAGATTTCGTTTATTTTTTGTAAGATCTGAGGTGGCACAGAAATCTCTTTGATGGAAATTCAGGGGATTTCCCTCAAATTCTTCCCGATGGAATTTGTACATAGGAAAGTATGTACTTATGTACATTGTACATATGTATTTCTGAATAATACGAACAATATATGTACACTAGGGCGGTCCACATTTATATGGAGAAGCATGTGATGGGTGAGAACAATATTTCAATTTTTGGACCGCCCTAATGCACACACATGTTCACGAAACTGTAAAATGAACATATGTACATACATGCATAACTACATAAACCCGTTTTATTTAGAAAAAAATTAAAGTTATCTTGCAAATAAAATCCGCCATCGTTAAAACTTCCCCTGATCGATGACTGTACTAAACATATACATTGCTTTTATGGCATTTTATTATTAGTAAAGAAACATAGGAAATTTTAAAGTGTTTTACGCCAGTGCTTCTTGGAAAAATTACATCAGTAACATCCAAGTCCAACTTACTTGCCAATATTTTACAGTACTTTAATGGTGTAAAGGCACTTTATGTACTTAATTGTTTAAAGAAAAAAACTGGAACTGAACTGATAAACATTCACATTCAAAAACACAATTTGCAAATTCGCACGCCTGCACAAACCGATCTAGTGCCTGAATATTCTCAAATAAAAGTTCCTAATTTATTCCATGGTTGATAATATACCAACAATTTTAGGAAATACCGCATTTTTAGTGTTACCACATCACTCGCATAACGGACTTAAAACTTAGATAAATAAAGACAAGAGTATAACTTTTATTCAATTATTTATTCACCAGCATCAGCAGTAAGGATTCCGAATCCCAACATTCAATACTTAAATACTATGTACTATGTAAATATACTAAAAATAATATGTCCATGCTATAAATATGATAAATAATCATTAAATATTTAAAAAACATAACGTTCTAGTCCAGCGTTGACTGCGGACTAAAGGCATAAGTAGATGACTGAACGTCGAGGCTGCTGTTGGAGGAGCAGGAGCTCATCGAGGGTGCCCTGGTGGACCTTGCCGATGAGGCGGAGGATGATCCGCTGGAGGAGGAGGAACTGACCCAGGCGTGGCCGCTGCGCCTCCGCCGCTGTCGAACCAGACCCAAGACCGATCCGGCCACCGGAGTGGAGCCGGAACTGGCTGACATTTGCCTCCGGATGCTCATTGAGATGTGAATGGGCTCCGGAGCAGGTGCGGTGGCCGGACGTTGGGCAGTCGCCTCCGAGCCAGACTCCAGATCGCTGGAGGTCGGGGACGCAGCTTCCTCGATCTCCACCGGTGCAGCCGGAGCATTCAACACCCGTCCATCCAGTAGTTGCAGCGTGGGCACACTGCGCGCCAGGAGCGAGCGGTAAAGAGGCAGCCGGCAGACGGGATTCCCCTGCAACTCCACCTCCTGCAGCTGCGGGCACATTCCCAGGAAGGAGAGCAGACCCAGTTCGCTGATCCGGTTGTTCCTTGCCTTTAGAACGCGGAGGTGGACCAGTTCGGCCAGAGGATCAACCCGTTGGATCATGTTTCCATCGGCGATGAGCACCCGGATGGCCGGCAATCCGCTGGTGCCGTCGAAGCTGTTCAGCCCGCAGTTGCTGATGTCCAGCCGGGTCAGCTGGAGGAGTCCGTAGCCCAGGTCCCTAAGCGAACTCAGCACACTGCCACTCAGGTCGAGGCTTTGGAGGCGCGGCAGGAAGAGGGACAGCCGAGACAGGCTGATTGTGTAGGATATCACGCGCAGGCGCACCGACTCCACCGCCTCCAGATCCGTGCGTTGCGTGACCCGCCGCTAAAAGGAGAACGCAGTATTACTCCTAGTCTGTTAACCATATATATCTTTATCAAAATACTCACAATTCAGTTGGAAATTTTCTTTAAGACTTTTTCTAACTGTATTGTGGTTATAGATATTTCATTCGATAATTCTTTAATGCTATGTACATTTATGTTTACGCAGTTACTTCAGCGCTCAGCAGCTTCCCACTAAGCGGGAACAGGAAATTGCTCTGCTCTTTTTTTGCCGCCACACACACAGTGTAGAACAGTGTATTGCGTGCGAATTGCTGATTTACACATACACAGAGAGAATTCTTATTCGAGTTCAGAATGTTTTAAAAAAAAATAGAACGAAATTTTTGAAGATGAAAATGTTTTCATTGTGCTAAAATTAAGATAAATGGTCGCTATTTACATTGTATATCTCAACAACTAAACTATTAGAAAAGTTGTTTAATAAGCTCAATTTAAGTTTTCTTTGCTCACCATTTCGATCTAATATTAAGATAATTGATACCAAAATGTACTTACACGGTTTTCAAGAACGAATGTCTTCAAATCAAGAACAATGTACTAGAATATTTCTCTGTGTATATGTATTACCAAAACTTTATATAAAATACGACATTTAAATGGAACTTAAGAAATTACAAATGTAGCTTATAATAATATTATTATATAATAATTTTTCAGGCAATACACATATTATACTTTGCCTACCAGTAACTCGTCCAAGGTCGGTTCCGGGGCCTGTTGGGGCAAAACCACGGGCGGCAGATGCACGAAGGCCGGAAGGTGTTGGGTCTCCTCGGTGATGGGCACATCCCGGTCGAAGGAGTTCCGGCGGGTCAATTGCCGACGGTTGAGCTGCGCCCGCTGCTGCTGCTGGGCGGGATTCTGCTGGTTGAGACGCACCTCAGGCGGAGGCATCCGCACCTGTGCCAAGGCCGCCGGACCTGGTGGGGCCAATAGGATGGGCAGCTCCGCCTGAAGGGAGTGATCCGGAGAGGACTCCAGATACTCGGCAGGCGCCTCCAGCAGTGGCATTATAAGGTTTAATAAACTTAGCAGCTCCTTCTTTCGTGTCCAGCTCTGTATTTTGACTGTCTTTATTGACATAACAACCTGAAGGTTTCCATGGGCAACGATTGGTGATGGTAAAAGGTCTTATTATACATTGTTGATACTTGGTAAGTCCCTAATAGTAAAGATGTTATAATTTAAACATGTTACGAGTTATAGCTTAATAACAATTTGTACCATTTAAATTGCAAGATCCGAGTGGATTGATGTTTATTTTGAAAATAACAGAACCTAGCGTAGTCAAGGGGAGCAAATCAGACTTTATTAAAAATATTTCCCCTTAATTTATAACTGAAATATGGGACCGACTAAACAAAAGCTGTGTATGTATGGGTGGCCTTAAAAGTAGGCTATCGTTTCTTTGGAAGTCCCACATGGTATTAAAAATGGTATGTTTATAGACATGAAAACACAATTTAATCCAATTTGGTTCATCAAACAAATAAGTCTAAAAGTTCTGACCTCAAGAGGGAAGTTATTGGGTGAATAAACTTGCTTTGTGCCCGTGTCGCTATAAGTCTAATTGAAAGGTCTTAGTTTTGTATGTACAAAAAACAGTATGTGTATCGATCTATATTTTTGCAGCATTCCGCTGTTCGCCATTATTACTCCTTAACCGGATTTTTTGGCAATAAGCCCACTGACGTCAGTCTGACGTCATGGTCGTGACGTTCGCTTTCACAAACACTCTCTCCCACGGACTTTCTTTCTCTCTTTCGGGGTGTCTGTCCGCTTTGGGAGAGCGGCTAGAGTTTTGTCCAGGGGCGGATCTAAAGAGTTTGGAGGGGGTTGTTGAATCAAAGCCAAGAAAGCAGGGTAAGAAATACATACTTCAAAATTGTATTTAAATTTAAAAATACATTTTTTTTTTAGTGGTGCACTTATTTAGTAATTATGAAAAGAAAACATAAAAAATTGCAGTATTTTCTATTATATTCATACATCCCTATAGACATTTTTCAGATTCACAGACTTTAGCCATTTTAAGGACCATTAGGTATGTAACACCAACTCCAAAAGGCTTCTCTGTCTGTCTCGCGCACTCTCTCTCTACCTCTTTCTCTCTCCCCCTCTATGGCTTTACTATAATCAAATTTTCCTGACGCCTGTCAAGCTTTTGCCGGCTTTTGTGAATTTTCCGGGGGGGTGGGGTTGGCTCCTTGGGGAGGCACTGTTGTTGTTTTGGTTTTGACTGGAGCTTTTTCCATTGACGTCATCAGAGGCGAAAGCTGCGCAGTGAGCTGACATCCTACCACGCATTTATCGATTACACAGGGGAGAGAGTGGGAGAGAAAGCGGTGGCGATAGGACGTACGAGTGGGCGAATTCGGTTTTTGCTAATGCAGGCAAAAGTACAATTTAATTGCACTCGAAAATTAAAAAATTAAATTCAAAATTAATTTTTTAATTCCCTTTTAAGCTCACACAGTTACAAATATTACCTAAAACAGCACAAATTATATGCGGTTTTTCTCTCAGTGCTGCGCAGCTGCTTTTTAAGTCTGGGTTCAGGTGTTGCCAATAAAATCCCATCTTCAGCTCGCACATTTTTATAGGTGCCTAAAAATAGATTTTGTCAATAATACCAACAAACACAAGCACAACCACACACACACACACACACACACCCGAATTGTGTGGGTGCACGAACACGCACTGTTGACGTCATTGTCCTTAAAGCTCTAGCGCTCTCCTTTCGTCCCGTTACTACGTTACAACCACATCGAAAACTGCTCTCCCTCTCTTCTCCGAAATACCGTTCGGCTTTCAAATCCTCTCTTTTTGACGGCGACGTGGGAGTAGGCGTCGCTGCTCCACTAAACAGTGGGTTTAACTTAACATGGATTGAGACTGCGCTAAATACATTTGACATTTGTCTACGCGGGAAGTCGGGAACTTCCCAAACTACAAAATCAGTAAGATCATCCATCGTTCCATTACAAACTGAACAGATTTATAAAGATGTTCTATCCTTTTTTATTTCAATTAAAAGAACTGGGGACATTAAAAACCTATGTTTACTTCTGAAAATGGGGTTCAAACAAAGACTTTTTGCGTGTCAATCAATCATTCAATAAAAATGTGAGAAATATAAAATTTATAAAATAAAATTGATTCCCAAGCTTAAACAAAATTCCGCAGTTTTACCAATAAATTTTTGTATTAATACTAATTAGCTAGAAAGCTGTGAAGATCGATAGTTATATAGCCAGTTAATTTATCCCAATTTATTCAAATTTTACAGGAATTGTTGTCAGAAAAGGTTTGTTCTGTGCTCAGCCCTTATTATTTTTACCGCAAACTCAAACCTTGGTAGAACATTTGAGTACTTTTCCCCTTAAAGTATCAGTTTCTGTACTGTTAGCCCCGGCAGAGAAGTCGACGTCGTAGAGAGACGGAAGCTCAGAAACTGGGAGAGCCAAGTCTATTTAAGCACCACGCAAAGACCAAATCGTTGTTATTGCAGAACAGTTTTTCGAACGCGTTGCTTTGGTTTCGGTTCCGTTCGCATCGCAAAGTACAAAGAAATATCTGAGAAAGCCATGGATAAGGCCTAGTGAACTGAATCGCGCGATAACGTAACTAAAAGATTGATCCTCCGGATGATCCCGAAACCCATGTTTTTTGAGCGTTGACGATAGTGGATAGGATAGTGGATAGGATAGTGGCCAAGTGAAGCCTTGAGGAAAGGAAATGCCACCAGCCCGCAGCTGAGCTGCATTCGCCGTTCTGTCGTAGTGGTCGTGTCCTCTCGCGCGCGTGTGTGTGTGGGTGAGCTGTGCACCGTGTTATTTGGGTCAAAAGCTGCAGCAGCACAAAGTTCCCGTTCCCAGGGGGTGTCCACCTGTTATGCAGCTGGCCTAGGATCTGGGATCCCGCGTCCAAAGAGTCCCACATGGAGGCGAAGGTCCACCGCCAGCATCAGCGGCATCGCCGCACGGAGGCGCGTCAGCGTCGCCTGGAACGTGAGGCGGCGGCCACGGGAGCACCGCCCACCACCCCCGAGCGGGCTGAGGCCTTGGACTGTGCCACCGCCCTCAATGAGGGCGTGGCATCGGCGGAGCCAGGCGGCAGTGGCGGTACACCGAGCAGTGCGGGTCGCATCAGTGCCCAGAGTTCGGCGGACAGCATCGAGCTGGTGGGTTCGCCCAGCCAGACGTCCCAGCAAACCGTGGTCCTGGTCAACGGCCATGTGCCCCCGGGCCAGGAGGAGGAGCAGGAGGAGTCACCACTGGGGGCCGGCAATCTCCGGGAATCGCCGCCGCTGCCCAAGCAGAGTGACGGCAGTCGCAACTCCTCCGGCGATGCGATGAGCCTGCGGGAGACCCTGCAGCAGCTACCAGCCACCCATCACCATCGATCGCGCCGAACCATCTCGCCTGCGGATCCGGATGCCTCCTTCCATCGGGGAATACTTGGCTATATGGATCGCGAACTGAAGCAGAGCTCGCCTACGCCATCTGCGCCGGCGGGAACCGGAAACGGAAATGGCAATGGCAATGGCAATGGCAACGGCACGGGCGCCTCCCGGAAGCAGCAATCGCTGTCCGATCCTCAGGCCAGTCCCGCCCAGCGATCCCTGCGCTCGCGGAGCAGCTTCGACAAGAGCCCTCGGCGGAAGCGCAGCAAGTCGGAGTCCAGGAGGAGGCGAGAACGGAAGCTGATAGCCGCCGGCGAGATGGAGGTCCGCCAGGCGAACGAAACCCTGATGAGGTACCTTAAGCAGTGCTCCGACATGCACGACGCCTCACTCTCCGGCGAACTGGAGATCGACCAGAGTCTGGAGGAGAGACGCGTCCACCGGAAGACCAAGTCGCAGAGGGACAAGCGGGGCCAGCTGATCAGTGAGTTGTTACCATTAATTGTGCACTGTAATCCCAGGGATTCCTTATTTCCATTCTGAGCATCCTAAGCCATTTTAGAATGTCTTTATATTTTTTTTTTTGATTACCTTCCCATTACATTTATAGAATAACGTTTTTGAAGCCTAATAAAAGTGCATCGATACTTTGAAAATTCTACTTTGGGACATTGTTTTCACCCAAAACCTTATTTCAATTATTGCATTTTAATAATTATCTTAACTATTCCATACCATCAAAAAAACACATCTCAAAAAGCAAAATAGTTATCCATTAGAACACTTCCCGAAATTTGCCCATACGCCCATTCATTCATAATAGTCGCCACCACACCACTCTCCCAGTGCGCTTCGTCACTATCTTAAATACCTTTCCGAAATCACACCGTAAGAATATATATATTTTATAATTACATGTAAAATGTGAAACAATAAAAATACATAATACATAAGTGTTTAATTAAAATATTTAAATACGTAAAGATGCCTAGACGATAACCAAATTTTGGGGATATTTTTCTGTGTAGTCTTCGTGCTCCCCACATCCAGGTCCCAGTTCCCATTGAGTAAAACCAGCTGGGGAAAAAGCTCCACCCTTCCACCTGGTCACCCACTTACTGTTCTCACGATTCTGCGCACTCGTCCATTTGAGGCACTTGAAAAAAGCCATGAGATATTAGTTTGAACGCTCCTAACTGTTTTTGATATCTTATCGCATATTGATTATGCTATGCAGTTCCTTAAAAACATATATCACATGCTTAACAGCACAAAAAAAACTTTAAATGTAAATCTTCTATCTATGTTCTATATTCTATCATCTCACACTGATTTCGATTAAAACCTTTTATACTTATATTGAATCTTATTTATCAACAAAAGTTTTTAGTATACCATTTAATGGTTTTTTAAGTAGTTGGATATGAGACATACAGTTTTTCCTAGCCAAGATTTATTTATATTATAAGAAACTTGTAATATCTATGTACTGAGTTTTGGAAAGCCGCCCAATAACAAAATGAGAAAGCGATTTCTTTCGGTGCAATCACATAATCCCATTCGTATCCTTCCTTCTCCCCCAGGCAAACTGTACTCGGCGGGCGGGATATCCTCGATTCTGAAGGAGCTGGCCGACGACATCGCTCCCGCTGAGGGCGAGGAGATCTACAACCCGTTCACGCCGGTCGTCTCGCCCACGGACGAT